CTATTGGCTGGTGTTGCCAAACCAGCCAATCCAGGACCACCACTAATTTTCCTTGATGCTGATTGGCTGTAGCCTGAAGTGTGGCGATTGCAGATGTTAGCTAAAGCTGTAGCGCCAACACTGTTTCTGCTGGTCTTATTAATGCATATAAATGTATATTTGGTGTTTGAAATGTTAAAATAGGCAGAAATAAACATTTTTAGAAGGAGTCGAAAGTATTTGGGGATTTTAGTTGTCAAAAACCAAAAAGATGTTTAACTGACTAGTAAACATCTCTCGATGATGACAGAATCTTGCCATACATGATGTTTATTGCTAAAACACAAAGTCTCACCAAGTATTTTTGGTCGAGTTCATAGTGTAAATATCTTAGTACACTTCAAATAAGATAAAATTAACTTAAAAGTAACTTTTCAGAAAGATGTAGCCGCTTCTAAGTCAATAGTTATTTAATATTGATGACAAATTTAGAGTTCCATTAACAGATTATTTCACTTGGAACAAAATAATTTTCACATGCTTTAAATGAAAAAATCTGCCAGTTTTTTCTCATCAATATTAAGGAATTATTGGCTTAAAACAAGCAGCTATATCTTGCTGAAAAGTTACTTATGATTACTAAGGTATTTGCGCTAGAAATAATACTTAATATGTTGTGTTTTTACAGTGTTACCACTGAATAAGATCAATGTAAAGTAAAATAAATAATTTGTTCTGATATATAAATAATTTGAAAGTGTTATATCTACTTTTAATTATAAATACTAAGTCCCACAGTGAGGAACAGAAACACAAGCTGCTAAAACTAAACACTTAGAAATGGGTTTTGGACAGTGGTGTGTTTTCCCCTCCAGTTACATCACACCAGTTGTCCCAGAAAGGCCGGACTCCACTCACACTAAATGGCCCCTTTATTAGGGTCGGAGGCTCAGCTTGCATGCTGCACACAGGGACGTGTGTGTGTGTGTAGGTGTGTGTGTGTGTGTTTACCAAGTTGAAGAGCAGTTGTCGTTGACAGCTGCACGAGTGCAAGAAGAGAAAGAGTCAAGTGGCTTCAAATAGTCGACGTTCCTCTCATTCATCATGCTCTTCTTCTTCTTCTCAGCAGCCACTGGTGTGAAGTTTACATTTTTTCATGTTGACACAGTCCTGGAGATATTTTGAAGGTAATGATTCATGAAATGTCCAGAACAAAGACATGAAACGGGACCGATTAATCTCAATATTCAACACTATCCAAGTAATTTATTTCTATTGGCTTTGTTGCCGTTTTTTAATCCATATATGACCCTAAATTTAATCTAAATTACCATCCAGCTGTGAGTCTGAAAATGGACTTCTTTTGTGAGCCAGTGAAGTTAAATCATGTATTTGTTGTGTAACAATATGCATTAAGAAAGGTCTGAATTCATAGTTAAGAACAAATAAACAACAAAAAATGTTATTTGAAATAAAATGGAATGAAAACAATTTTTTTAGTATGAATAAGTGGGTTCAAGAATTAAAGTTATTACTTATGGAACTATAAGGAAAACAAATTCTGACAAAAATAAAGTCAGAGTTATGAGGAAATAAAGTCAGAATTATTAAATTAAATATAACATTTCGAGGTTGAAGCCACATTTTTCCCCATAGTGGGCCTTATCCTCTTCCGTAATTTTGGCCTAATTATAATTAGGTAAATAAACATAATCTAACCAATCTGCTGCAACTCCCATTCAAACACACATAAGATAAAGAAAACAACAATAAAGAAGTATTTATAAGGACCATGGAGTCGGAACATTTACTTTTCTCCCCAATTTGAACAATTCCTCTCAATGAGGAGTCACTTTTTTCTCCATTTCTTCTTCAACTAACCAATCAGCACGTTTGATCCCCAACTAGAAAGAACGCCACCATGTAGCTGTGAAGGAGGTCGATGCATTTTGCATCCAGAGAAATAAAGTCCCCACCAGATACTGCTTAATGAAGCAGCTGAGGATAATTAGTGTCTAGTGAGATTATTATATTCACAACATATTTCAGTGTGATCCTATCAGGTGTAAAGTGTGACATAATGACTTGCCGTATCATCCTGAGCGATTTTTACATAAAACTGTGGAGGGTTTTAGAAACTACAGATGAGAGTTATGTCTCTTTAAATCAACTCCTGCATGTCAGGTGGTGCAGATGTCCACAGAGACATTTAGCGAACTCCAGTGGGTGGGTTCAGATGACATCACAATGACATCATGATGACATCACATACACATTAGGATCAAATAGGCAACAGGTGATATGGATTAGCTAACAAACGTAGCAGACACTCAGCTGAAGGCAGGATGAACAACTAAAATGAAATTATGTGATATGTGCATATAAACAAGAACTGATTCAAATTCTGCTCTGGTCCTCCCCTTGTGCCTGTTCTCCGTCTCAACTGGTACCAAATAAGGAGCACGTGTGTAATAATGAGTGCTTTGACGTATCATCGCCAAAGTGATTTTTCTCTTTGCAAAAATCACTTTTTTGTCAAAAGATGATTTAGGCAAAAAAAAAAAAAAACTTTTACTTTTGGCAAAAGTGACTTAGGCCATTATTTTAGGAAAGCAATGATATGAAATATCTAGTTTGAACTTAGCGATGATTTTACTTTATTGACAGTTTTCTTATTTTGCTTTACACTCGTGGATAAATCTTAAAGATTTTAGCCTCACAGCTCAACTTGAAATAATTTTCTGTCATGTGAGCTTTAAATCATGAAAAAACAGTAAATATAATTATGTTTTTTGAGGAAGTCTGACTGCACTCAAGAAGTCAAAGCTAAATTTCTAAATTATATTTCAGAGCAAAAAAGAAATCGGAACATCATCAACGATTTATCGGACAGATACTTCAGACTTTTGGCTTAATTTGAAACTACACAAATAAAAATATATGAATAAGTACAAGTACTCTCCAGATAATGAATAATAATAAATGCTTTACCCTTTTTATTGCCATTACAAATCAATCATGATCAATTAAATACTGATTAACCAGCGATTGGACCTTAAACTTGACTCAGATGGTCTCCATTCCACTGATTGTGAGACTTCAAGCACCATTTGGATGGACCTCTGTTGATTAACTTTAAAAGAGAATATTTATGTTAATGTTAAATAGTTTTCATCCATTTGTTATTTTGCAAAAATCAGATTTCACTCTGACATTAAAGGGTTTTTTGACAATTTTTGTCAAAGATAAAAATATTTTGATGTAAAAGTTATAAAGACGTTAAAACCTCCAATGGTATGAATATGTTTTATAGGCACTAAATATCTGCTGAAATACTTTTAACTTAAAGTCACATTTAAACTCAAATGTATTTCCTGCTTTGTCTGCCTTTAAAATAATTAAAACATGAATATTTTTGTTTTCAATCAGGAAACTGCTTTCTGTCAAAATAAAAAATAAAACCTTGTTCGCTGCGATCTTTTCTGAATCTGTAGATTTGAAATTTATTCACTTTGTGCAATACCTTTAAGGACAATGTCACTGTACACTCATAAAACAGGATTTACAGTTAGCATGCTTCGTCTTGATGCCGTTTGCAAACCTTCGATACGGTTTGGATGTGGATGAGGTTTGCTGTTGCAGCTAAAATGCTTCAGAAATCAGTTAAGGTCCAAAAAATCCTAATTTTTGTTGTTGTTTCTGAGCTGGTATGTCCAGTCGGAACGTGATTCCCCCGAACACCAAAGTGTCCAGCCTGTTCCTGCTTTCATCGTCTGCCAGGTCCTGTCCTGAACACCAGCACAGCCATAACACACTCCCAGTAAGGAAGGGTCTGCCAAGTCCTTCGAGTGCGAAACCCACATGTGTTTCTGTCCGTCTGTCCCTCCGGACGTTTCTTTTTTTTCTTTCCCAGCTTAGGAATGTAGTCCCTCCCTGTCATAGAAGCACAGAGGCTTTTGTCTTTGTCCGTATCCGTTCAGATCGGTTTCCCTCCTGGTTTTCTGAATCCACGCTTGCTTAGCATCCACGCTGTCGGCGTTCAGCTCAGCAGGGCTGCATGGTGCTGCCGCCGCCGCCGCTGCTGCTGCACAGTCCACTGTAGCGCAGAGCTGCAAGCAGACCAGAAGCTGTTATACCCCCTTAAAAAACGGATTTCTGCCTCAGTTTCTTAGAGTTGGAGGAAAAAAAGGCCAAAATAGAAAGAGGAAGGTGAGGAAGAGTCTCTAAAACCAGTACAAATCCTTGCTTTTATCCTGCGCCTGCAGACCTAAGAAAGATGAGAAAGAAAGGGAGGAAGAGCGAGACAAGATAAAGGCAAGAAAAGGAAGATTAGACACTGACAAAAGCTTGTTGATAAAAGCAGTAGGAAGTGGCCCGAGGTGAAGAAGGAGGAAAAAAGCAACAGCAGCAGAAAATGGAGCTGACAGCTGGAGTGAAGGTGCCGACTGACGGACGTTTTGTTCGTTAAAAGCACTTTGTGTAAGTCGATCCGAGGGACAGAAACAGATTTTCATTTAATTCTAGTTTTACACCGTAGCTGCGATTACATTAAACTTATAATCGCACAAATTGGTTCATGAGTTCACTTAATGGAAACATGGAAATTTAGAAAAAGACTCAAGTTGTCACGCTAGGATGTATTGAAATTGGTTTATTTCGCAAAACTGCAAAGGAAAAACTTTTTTTCTCTTCACATGAGTCGCATGATGAAGAGCTAGATGTTACTACTGTCGAAAACGACAAAGAGGAAGATGACAGGAAGTGGCATGTTTTTAATAACTTATTAACGTGGGATTTTAATGCCGTTTCTTATTTAAGAGGAACATCGTAATTGCTATATTGTGATTTTTCGACATTAGTGGAATATCGACTTTTTGCCAAAACCACAAAAATTTGATGCAACTTCATTTTGTTTACATTTCATGAAGGAGGAAGTTGCGCTCAGAGGTTTTCATGTCTTTTCCTTCAGTGGGTGCAGCGCCCCCACAGGCGAGGAGGGGAACAGGTTTTTCAAAGGGTTTAGACTGATTGAGACAGCAGTGTGAAAGTGAACCTCAGCTGAAAATGTAATAAATGTTGTAATTTTGGTGGCCAATCAAACCAAATCTACCGGACTATCAGGTGTGAAAGCAATCTTAGTTCTTACGTCCAGTAGCAGTTCACTCAAACTGAGTTCTCTGCTTTCTACAGGAAGTAAGATACTGCCTGTTAATTTCTACATCACACAACCCCAGCTGAAACACTGAACTATCCCTTTAATGAAAGACGTCGACTGATTTCTGAGGACTATCGTACCTGTGTCTATGTTGAGTCCGATCTCCGCTCCAGCTCCGGCGAAGGCGCCGCTCCAGGCCGACCCCGTCCCCGACTCCGCCTTCCCGCCGAGGTCGCAGGGTGAGGTGCTGGGCCCCGGCACCGAGCTGCCCGACGACAGCCTGTGGTGCGGCCTCACCGATGGCACCAGCAGGGAGCTGTACCTCGGGTCGAACGCCGCGCCGTACATCTCGTGGACACCTGGGCGAGAGTAGGCTGAGCTCTGAGCGCTAATGGCGCCCCCTAGCGAATAAGGGTGATGGTGATGATGGTGGTGGTGGTGGTGCGACGGGTGCCAGGTGTCGGGGCTGGGCTGGTGGAGGTGGCTGTGCAGGGAGCTGGAGGAGTATGGGTCGGCAGGGAAGGAGATGTCTGCGTGGGGGGCGGACAGAGCACCGCCCAGCGTGGAGGAGACCGCCGGCTGGTAGGAGCTGTTCCAGAACGACGGAGGAAAACTCCTCTGACTCATGGGGAAGGAGCCGTCTGAGAAAACCCAAATCATGGAGTCACTTCAAAAAACATTCAGTAAAATATTTAGGAAAGACAAAAACAGAATCTGAAGAACTCAAACTTTTAAATATTCAAAATCTGCATGTTTTTGTGCTTTCGTTTGGGTCTCTGGTGCTTCTAAAAACAGAACAAGTGATTAAAAAAAACAAACTAGATGTTTTTTGGCAAAAAGTTAATGATTGTTGGCGTTTGGAAAATGAGCCGTTTCAAAAACCTTCAAAATATATTACAAATCAGCAGGCTCTGCACCGTTGCCTAGTAACCCCAGTAGACTTCGGCTGTTACCTAGCAACCCAAGCTGAGCTCCAGCACATTTGGTTAGCTGATTTTACTGTTGTACAATGGCTGCTGGAAAAGACAAGTGTTTTGTTGTTGCCTTAACCATTCAGAAACCACTGGCTGCATTCTTGTTGGTTGTGCAGGAGGCTCTACTAATGCTTTTCAAAATGTACGGTTGTACAATTGTGCATCTGTTTGCTGCCATTTTCATGTCTGAGTGTAAACGTTGAGGTTTAAGAAGCCTAATAAAGTTTACCAAGTTGAAGAGCCTAGTAAATAAATAAATGAGTATATAAATGTATAAGGAGTTTAAATATAAAGCTTTATGCATCAATTCTGCAGTTTCTTGCAATTTAACATGCTGTTTGCCAACAAAATGTATTTATACCAGCATTTGGGAAGCAACGAAAAATCTAATAGTTTTCTCTGAACACAGCAAACCTACTTGCTGAATCTAAAGTTATTCAGTTACATAAAAATACTGGAATTTTAAAGGTTTTGTGCAAACGCATTTAAAAAATTAACCTCACTGCAGTTTACGGTGGGAAAAAAAATGTCTTAGTACAATTGTTTTAATCAGTTTGTCATTATTTGAAAAGAAAAGCTTGATTTATGTTGTAAAAATTGTTTATATGAAGCATAAAGATAGAGCAGTAAGAGGATAAATCTGTGATTTATGCAAACAGAAAACATAAATTAATAAAACTTTAAATGTGTTTTATCAAAGCTGCAGAGATTGGAAACGGTCTATTTTCCTGTGAATGGCTCTGATTGGTGATTAGCAGATCACAGGCAGAAAAGGTTGAATATTTTTCTAATAACCAACAGCTTGAATTATCAAATGACTCTGAGTTTAATAGAAAACAGATCAAGCTTAGAGACGCAAACCTGGATGAAGAAACAATAAAAGAATCTTGTAATTCCTTAAATTTCTGTTGGATCCAAAACAACCTCCATCAGAACAACTGCAGCACATTATTTTCTCTGCTACATGTTGATTTGTTCTTTTAGGAAAATGAAATTGGGCTCAATCAATATTTTAATTTGCAGCTCAGAACTCAAAGAAACCAAGAAATTGATCGATTAGGGAAACCCTGATCGGTCCATTTCTGTGCCAATAAACTGATCTGAAATCTGTCTCTCGCTGCACAAAGCAGCAGTGGATGAAAATCAGGAGTGTTTTTATTTTATTACAATACTTTGGGTTTTAATGAGACTTTGTTTTCAATCAGCTCACTTGGTTAAATAAACGAATAAAAATTGTTTTAGTAATTGATTATTCAATTGATTAATCTGAAAATTAATCAATTAATCGGCTAAATAAAATACAGATATAACTATACAAGTCTTTTTACATTAAACTGTATTAAAGATATAAATAAAAATTAGTTAATTCCTTTTTTAAGTAAGAAAATAAACATTTTATTGCTTCCAGTGCAATAGCACAGAATTCCTTCAGTGAAATTGAACCAGGCGAAGTTCGGCTAAAACATATTTACAGACAAAGATGATTTTTATTTTAAATGTATATTTATTTTGTACAGTTTTGGTTTAATTACTGCTCTGAATATGTTGGTTTTTTGACTCTGTATACTGCAGTTAATGATTAATCGACTACAAAATTTCAATGATCGATTAATCACGTATAATCCGATTAATCGTTTCATTCCTACAATTAGAGGTGTAGAAAAAAACCTGATTCTACAGAGAATCACAGTTCATAGACCTGGGAATTATGAACTGATTCAAGATGCTCAAAAATCTATTTTAGTCTTTAGTTGTTTGTAGAAATGTATTTTGAATAATATGATAAGAACAAGCCAAGCGGCTAAACTAACCTAATACTTGTAGTTTAAGTTACAGAATTTTATGCATTTAATTTGTTTAAATATAAACTGATGGAAAAATTTTAAGTAACTGTTTTTGCTGCTACATGTTGATTTGTTCTTTTAGGAAAAACAAATTTTTTCCTAAAAGAAAAATTTAGGAAAATTTTTCCTAAATTTAGGAAATTTTTTCCTAAATTGAGTGAAATGTCACTCACTTTGTAAGTGACATTTTGTCACTTACAAAATGTAAACACAACATCTAAAACGTCTGAATAGATAAATTAGTTTCTTAATCAAGTCGTGATACTAAAAATCGAATCGACACTGAAAGATTTCCAACATTGCATTGTTCATTTTTGGTTTAATTACTTCTCTGAATATGTTGTTTCTCTGCAAATAGTCTTTTTGTTGAGTCCGTGTGCTCCAGTTAAAGATTAGTCGATTACTAAAACAGTTTATTATTATTTTAATAATCGATTAATCACGTTTATTCTGATTAATCGTTTCTGTCCCACAATACTTCTTCAGTTTGCACTAAAAACTGATCCAGATGTAAATGTTGGACTCAAAACCATCGTATGGCTGCAGTGCTGAAGTAGAAACCGACTCCAAATTCAGCTGGAACTCCGTTTGCAGATTATTAAAGTTGCGTTGAACCAGCTGAACGACGGATCCACGAACCTCTGGGCGCCTTGTTCCCGCTCGGCGTCAGGTACGCGCTCGTCTGGCTGAGCGCTCGACTGAAATGCTCGTCCACCACCGTGCTGATGTCACCCTGGAAGTAGGTGAACAGGACGCAGCGGGAGCTCAGGTACTCGGCCCCCGGCGGCAGCTCCTTGTCCTCCTCTTTGATGGCCGGCGGCCCCGAGGGGCCGAGTCGACTGCTGAGCTCCTGGGGGTTTTCCATTTTGGAGTAGAAAGCCAGCTTCTGGAGTAAAGACAGACATACATCATGTGTGTTCTTGTTTGTCTTGATGAAACTTACTGCCTGTTATTATTGCTAACCTAAAAAAAACCTTGACCTCTGACCTGCAAACCTCTTAGAGGTTTATTTCAGGATCTGATGACACGGGTGATGTTTAGTTTGAATTCCACATCTAAAACCAACACAGAAACTTTGAACTGTTTTGTTTCCCGATGTTTTTAACGTGCAAGTTGGTGAAATCAGTTCTGCTGTTTATATTTTCTGATTAAAAGCCAAAATGTATGCAGCATTCTTAGTCATGCATGTGGAAATATTCTGTGACATAAAAAAAATCAGCTGTGAAACTGTTCATTATGACGGCAGAATGGGTCTCAGAGTGTTTAGGTGGCGGACGGAGTGAGTTTTCACACTATGTGAAACATGTCTGCATGTTGACTGAGACTTTGATACACAGAGAGAAAAAAAACTGTAAAAAAGTCTGAACAGACCAGAAAACAGACCTGCTGCCTCTAAGACACAAATCTAAAATATTTACAAACTAGTTTTTATTTTACATGCAATTAGCCTTAATACTCCTTGATTAGCTGCATGCATTTACTATAATATATAATTTAAATGCATATTGTGTTAATAAACGCATAAAACTTCGAAATACTGCAATTGATTACAGTCTTATATTTAAATATTAATTTATGCAATAAAACATAAATAAATGGAAAACTGTGTAAAATCTTTTTTACACATTTTTTATTCATTAAAAGTATTTAAAACTATCCACCAATCCAGTTTTACGGGTTTAGTAACTTCTTTAAGTTGAAGAAAACGTCTTTTTATGACCTTTTTAGGCGGATTTGAACCGCTGGTCACTTTAAAAACAATCTAAACTGAGTTTAATTACGATTATATTATGGATTTAGACCGACGTAAAGAGAAGCCGTGCGGAAATGCAGCGTACCTGGTGGTGGTAGGGGCTGTAGGAGCTGAAATAAGGCTGAGGACCAAACACTTGGTACATCACATCCAGGCAGCTCATGGCGAACAACTCACGAAGAAGAACCAAGCGTCATCGAGAGCCGCTCAGCTCGGACGGAGAGACGGAATCGGAAAAGTCCAAGCCGGTGCTCCACTCCTCTGCGCGCTCTCTGCGCTCTTTACGCACCGGACTGCGGCCCGTACCCGAGAAGGAGCGACCCCACGGCCCCGCCTCCTCCCACCGCACGCGCGCACACCCACCAATCAGAAGCCAGAGCTCCACCTCTGCCTTAATGGGCTTTTAATTAGGAAACATGAAAGAAATCAGAAGCTGCAGCAAACTTTTCCAGTAAACGTTTGATGGTATTATTTTTTACCCTAAAATGATTCCACTTGTTTTAAATTTGAGCACTGCTCATTTCTGTATATCTCCCCTCCAGCAGGACACAGCTTTTATATATAATTTTATTAGTTTTCTTGGGAATTTGGGCGCGTTTTCATCTCCTTTGTGAAAGGTTCTTACAGCTGACCAAGCAGTTTGAGGACAGAAGAAGAAATAAAATTACATATTAGCTCAAATAAACAAATGAAACATGGAATAATCCAGAGAGCACCTGAGTTGATTCCCTCCAGAAACAATAGCTCCTTCAGAATCACATCTTTGTATGGAAGCATATCAGGGCCACTGCAGATAAGACAATAAAAAAGAAAGTGAAAATTTATGCCAAAAACTCAGAAATGTTGATATTAGTCACAGAAACTTATAAGAGCTTTCTAGAAAATTTCTGATCTTCAAGAGTTGAAAATGTTTGACTTTTGAAACAAGTTTTGAGACAAGTTCTTTTTGTTTTTTAGAAATTTTCTGAGATTTATTTTTAAATTTCTGATTTATTTCTTTCAGTATTTTCTCTTTTTAAACTCAGAACTTTTAAAGATTTTTTTCAAGAAAATTTCTAAGATTTATCTCAAAATTTTACATATTTTTCTAGCAATTATTTCACTTTTAAAACTCATAAATTTCCAAGTTCTTTTCTACAATATTTCCGAGATTAATCTCAAATTTTTTCATTTTTTTCTTGGAAATTATTCACTTTTCAAACTCAGAAAGGTTCAAGTTTTTTCATTTTTCTTTCAAAAATAATTGTTCAGTTTCAAATCTTATTTTTCAGTTCCTATTTTTTTTCTTTTGAACAAACTGTATGGTCCCAGTTTAGCTCCAGAAGTAATGCAGGTTGACAAGACTTTCATGAAAGTTTCTTCCTGGACTTTTCAGGCAGGAGAGGAAATGCAATCCCTCTAAATGACATAAATTTCATAAAATATCATCCAAAAAGAAGAGAGCAGGGATTAAAGATCCTGGTCTGATGTTAGGATAGCTCAGACAAACCCTAAACATTCCCTAAAATTAAATAGTTGATCATATCGACCATCTAAAGCTCAAATAAACAAGCCACTTCAAATGAAATGTTATATTTAGAAAGGGTGCAGTGCTGCTCTCATTCCTCCTTGTTGTAGGTTTCCAAAGCAGCTTCAAAGAATGTCACAGCCACCACCTGCTAATTGAAAGAGTAAACAAATTAAACCAACCAATGAGAAGAATGTTAAGCTACAAACTCCTGGGATCTCTCAGTGGCCTCCTAAACTCAAGAGGTCAGATTGTTTGGTTCCAGTTTGAGCCAGGAAGATTCTGGTCACCATCTATTGCACCCAAAACTCATAATGATGTGTTCGTCGTCTCAAAACAAACAAACGTTAATTTAAAACCATGTAAAGTTTTCAAAATACTTAAAATCTGAGCTCAGAATCAGACTAAATTTAAATCCATTAAAAAAAGAAAACTAAAAATGCTCGCAGGGATCCCAGTTTTATCTTCCTAAAATAAACATCTATAGATAAATGGAGGAATCCATGTCTGAAAAATAACCAGTCTCTTATAATTATCATCTAAGCTCTGAATTAAGCGCTACATAAATTTGATTTTACCTACAAAACCTTTTCTCACATTAAAAACAGGCGACAGGTGTTACTAACATCGGATTTAGTCTTTTTTTTATGAAAACTAGAATTATTAGATATTATACTGTTGACTACCAGGCACTCAGGTGCAGGTTGTGTGGTGAACTAAACATAAATAAAAAAATATTTGAGCATCAACTTATCAGTGATCCTCAATCTGCTCTGGACCTCCCCTTGTGCCTGTTCTCTGTCTCACTCAGGAGCAACACAGGAGAAGATGGATGGATGGATGGATGGATGGATGGATGGATGGATGGATGGATGGGTGGATGGATGGATGGATGGATGGATGGATGGATGGATGGAAGTTCATTAATAAAACTAAGTTTATCCAAGTAAATGTATTAAGTTTATTAAATTGTCATGTTAATCAAAGATAAATAAATTAAGTTTAATAAAGTTAAATCAATTAGATGTAATAAATTACCTACATTTTTAAGCTGGTCTCTTTTTTCAGTGTATTAAACTGTAAGCAGGTGGGTTTTCAGCCTTGATTTAAAGGAAGTCAGTGTTTCTGCAGTTTTGCAGTTTTCTGGATGTTTGCTGAATGTTTGGTTCTGGTTCTGGGGATGCAGAGGGACTTTAAAACTGGGTCATGTGACTAAAAACTGTTAAAGTCAAACAATGAAAGAGGGAAAACAACAACAAGGAATTAATCAGATGATTTTTTTTAGGCTTTAACTTTCTACTAAACACATTGATAATATCAAATTACAATATTTATAAATATATGATAATGCATTTTTGTTTTCTTCCGCCATCCATCTCTGAAATCTCAAAGGTTTTGATCTTCATCATGTTCATCAATGATTTCCATAAAATGTACCAACGTAACCTTATTCTATCCCATAAAAAAACTTTCTTTTATCTTTACTTGATCAGGTGTGGAGATTCTCACTGTGTACGTCTGTATGCTTATATTTGTAAATTGGTTAATTTGTTATAGTTATTAATAGTTATTTGTGCAGCAATCCCAAAATCACAACAAAAACATAAAGTTTTTGTTGTGATTTTTGTCCTTCTCAGCTGACCTCTTCCAGGAACCAGCACACCTGTTCCCCTGCAGGAGTGGCCTAGAGAAGCTATTAAAACCCAGAATATCCCCCATTGAGGCACAGCTCAGCTCATCTCTCAGGCTCCATTCAGGCATCGGGCTCTGAGTATTATTGAACCGGGTCGGCCAAGGTTCAATGAGGAATTTTCAATCAGGACTTTGGGTGTCGTCTGCGCTGTCACTCACCGGTTTGATTGATTTGAGGGAAGGTTATTGGAAGAAGCAGGTGTTTGACGCTCTTCAGATTAAATTAGATTACAAGGAAAGCACTCCAGGGTTGGCTTTAAGTAATTTTAAAGCTGTCCAAGTCCAAGGGCTTTACGTCTTTTTTTTAAATGTGAAAACTTTGTAATGTGCAAGGAAAGTTCAACATTATTTTTAATTTCTAAATTGTTTTTAGCAGATTAAATGCTAATTGATAATCATCAGTGTAACAACTTCCATCAAAACTGGAGTTTTTAGATTATTGTTAAAATGCTCAAGAGAAAAAAATAACTGTGCAGACTGGTACAGACCAGAACCAAAGTAGACAAGGAAAAATTCTGAAATTTTGACATTAAGTTCAGAAATTTTCTAGCAAAACTGGGAAATTTCTGAGTTTCAAAAGTCAAAAATTGTCAAATTTTGAAAATCCAGGCTGAAATTCTACAAAACTTCTGAGTTTAATCTCAAAATAATTTTTTTTTTCCAAGAAAATTTCAAACTTTTTTCTTGCACATTTTTAACTTTTCAATTTCAAAAATATCCAAGTTTTTTGTTTTAATACAATTTATAAGCTTAATATCAAAATTGGTTGTAGGATTTCTCTTTTGTCTTCGGTAAAACACCACGAACCATTTCGACGACGGCGTATCAAGGTCATCGTACATAGAAAAGAGAAGGTAAACTTCTGCAAAATTTTGAGTTTAATTTCAGAAATGTTCTAGAAAAAACAAGGACATTCCTGAGCTCCAAAAAATGAAAATTTGCGAGAAAAACACTCAAAAGTTATTGGATTAATCTCAGGAATTTTCTTTAAAAAAAAACTTGGAAATTTCTTAATTTCAAAAGTATAAAAGCTCCAAAAGTCAAACTTTTGAAAGTAATTTCCACATGTTACAATTACGTTTTCCTCTTTTTAGGAAACAAGTTTATTTGCACACCATGGAGTTTCGGCTTCATCAGGGTCTTTTGCAAATCTCCCAAATAAAGGCAACAAGCTGAAACACGTTGGTCTGCAAAGAAACATCTTTTCTAGACTTCGTGTTTCTGGAGTCGTCTCCCGAATCTCTCTATGCACCTTGTGAGTTCGTGAAGTTTAGTTAGAAATATGTTTGATGGAGTTTCTCTGGTTTATTGACATTTTAATCAAATAACACGTTTTCCGCACGAGGCTTCCTGCTTTCGGGTGAAAAAGTCTTTATTTTAGATGGAAATGACAAGTTGCTGGGAAAAAAAATCATCATCTGTGCCTTAATAAGTTCATCAAACAAGCTACCCGGCATGCAGCGACTGTTAATGATGTTTAAACCCACATTGTAACACTTCATAACTGTGAGCTGGACGTGTTGTAAAGGCTCCGTATGTTTTCACAATGAGCCTTTAATGCTGATTTTCTGCTCTGATTGAGACTCTTTCTGTTTTGTTGGACCAGATGAGGAGGGAGACCCGACCGTGACCCTGCGTTTACCAGCGTCTCAAGGACGCAGCTTCATCTGTCCGTCTATCTGCTCTCACAACGTGTGTTTAAGTTATGAGATTTGGTTCAGTTTAGCACATAAATTTAAAAAAAAAACCTCTGTACATGAGATTTTTGTAAAAAAAAAATGAATTTAAATGATTTCATGTAGCTCATCTAATATAGATCCATGCATGTATTAGATGAGCTGTAAATAATTTTGTCCTTCACGCCCCTAAACATAGGCTGGGTAAGTCACGTTGATAAAAAATGAAATGCTCTGGCCGCTCCATCACAGCCGCTGCTGCAGCCCAACTGTCTGCACAGCTGTTCCTGCAGGACGAATATTTTATTCTCTGCTCTTCCACTTCTCTGGCAATATGAAGAATGGAGGAACTCGCTTTCTTCTGTCTCTTTGCTTTTATGTTTTCTCCATTATTAGTGTCTGATCCGGCGTTGATGCTAAATTAAAAAGATATGTGTTAAATTTGTGCTTATAAGGATCTTCATCAATTTTGTTGATCTTCCAGGCCAGCGTTCATGTTAGAAATAAACCTCCAACAAACAAACATCTTTTCCCAACGTAACTTTAGTTTTCTAACTGGCACAAATCGGCCAAACAAGCAGGAACAAAAGCAGCTTCTCTATTTTTACTCTGAGTGAAAATAGAGTCAAGACTTCATAAAGTCTTGGCTTTATGCAGAATATTTTTTCTTCATATTTCACCAGCAAGCTTATTAGTGATAAGAAACAGTAAATATGTATTCCTGTAAGAGATTATGTGGAGTGAACCGCAGTATTCAGCGCTCATATCTGATTATTCTAGTAGTTCAAACCTGAAATATGTCTAAATGTGTTAATACAGCAGTGGAATTAGGGACATTGTAGATAAAAAAAAGGAGGTGTAAATTTTTTGCCAAATAGCTGAGAAATTTTGAGATGAATCTCATAAAATTTTAAGAAAAAATAAAGATTTACTGTGATTCATAAGCTGAAAATTTGCAAGAAAAAAAACTCAGAAATTTTTAGATCAATCTCAGAAATTTTCCAGAAAAAGTAAAGAAATTTCCGAACTAGAAAAGTAAAAAATTAGCAGGAAAAAACAGAATTTTTTAGATTAATCTCAGAAATGTCCTACAAAAAGACGTGGACATTTCTTAGTTTCAAAAGCTGAACATGATTGACTTTTGAAACTCAGAAATTTCTAAGTGTTTTGTAGAATTTTTTTGAGGTTAATCTCAAAGTGTCAGATTTTTTGGCCGTGTTTTTCTCTGTCCACAGTGACCCCAATATGCTGCTGTCGCTCTGTGACTTTTAGTGTTCAGGTACAAAATGAGTAAATAAAATAAACAGAACATTGAACAAAAGGCAAGCAAACATGAAAAATGCTTTACTGATGCTGACTAAGAGATAAATGATGGAGATGAATCATTGGACTTCTGCATTAAACTATAAATGGGAAAATGTTTCACTGGCAGATTATTTCACTTCTAACTAGTGATTTTTAATCAATATTAAACTATTATTGACTTAAAACTAATTCTTATATGTGGATTGTAAATTAATGTTATTTCAAGTGTATTAAGATATTTGTTCTAGAAACTAGATCAAAAATACCTGGTAAGACTTTGTGTCTTTGCAGCAACCGACCATTTTAAAATGTTTGATGCTTTAAAAGCAACTATTTAAAAAACTATTTGTTCTTCCAGCCTCATTTCAGCTGATGGCTTCAAAAAAATCTGCTTGATTTTCAGGCCGAAGCTTTGATTGTGTCGTTGAGGCAAAATCGATTTTATATGTACAATAAACCAATTTATGGCAGCAATAAAAGCGTCGTTTGGATTCCCGGGTCTTAATTTTACATTCCATCTATAGAAGCTTTTGGTAAAATATAACCTGTTACATATAGAGGAAGAATTCAGGAGTAGATTAGAAATACTTCCAGTTGTTTTCATGGGGTGACCTTTGGCATCGTCTTGTTTTTCACTGTAAACTGTTAATTCTGTTTTCATCAAAGCATTTTTTCCTCTGTATTTTGTAACATTACCTCCATGGGCAGCATCCCGTCACGCTGTGGTTCTGTTGTTCTGCTCCCTGCAGCCTCGCCTCCCTGTCGGCCTCTCCGCGCTCCTGTTGGCGGTGCTGACAGGCCCAGCTGTCTCCTCTTTTTTTGCCCTTGGCTGGAGCCCATTAATTTCCACCAAAGGCCCTCAAGCGACAGCTCTCCTTCATAGTGACCATACTTGGAAAAGAGGAGCTCAACAGCCTCGCATACAGGAGAAAAGGACACGAAAAGTCACAGGGAAACAATAATATGTCCAGGATGGGTCCTTGACTTTTTAAGGTGAAACTGTTTGGCAAAATTTCCATTTTGCACATTTTTGTTCTTCCATTTGGGTCTCTTCCACTTCTACAAAAACAGCCAGCTGATATTTGGCATCTAGAAAACATTTCAAAAACAGAACATCTTACCACACAAAATAGTTTATATTTCTTTTTTCTAGTGCAGACATCTTGAAACGAGACAAAACTAACTTACATGTAACTTTCCAAGTTGTTTTAAGCCAATAATCCTTGATATTGTTGATAAAGTGGAAGTTCCACTGGTAGATTATTTATAAGTAAAACCTTTTCATGAATATTAAGGAATTTTTGACTCAGAAAAGTTCCTAAATTTTGCTGAAAAGACACTTTTTTTTCTTATTTAAAATAACTAAGATATTTGCACTACTTACTAAACTACAAATACTTGGTAAGAATACTGGAAAAAATACTGGAAAAAAAGTGTTTTGCTGTTGACTTACCAAGGAGAAACCACTTGTTGCATTCTAGTTGGTTGTGCAGAAGGCTCCACTTCTGCTTTTCAAAGATGTAGTATTGCAGCCACTTTCACGTGCGAGTGTAAACTTTTAGTTGGGGGTGTGGTCAGCAGCAGTTTCTTTGGATTTAAAGTGACAGAGTCTTAACGCAGCTGTTTCTGAAAGGAGCTCAAAATCTCATTATCTAATAATTATTTTGTTCCAAAAAATGTACTGAATGTGTTTTGTACCACTCATAGACTTATCCCATCCTCTTCAAGGAAGCATAACAGCTGACCTTTAACCTTTAAAAGTGATACCAGGCAGAATCTGTTGCTGCTGAGACAGAGACTGTCTGTGGCTGCAGTACCAGAAAAAAAGGAGCATCAAATCTCTGCGATTCTTTGTTTAAAACAACCAAGCATCTGAATGGTGTTAATTACACACCCTGAGCGCGGCGCCGCCTCCGTGAGAAATGTAAATTAGATCCGTTAATGAATGTTTTCTCTCATCGCATACAAGTGCAAAGTAACTATGCCGTCTATGCCCACCTTGCCTCTCTGTTTACCGTCCCAGTGTGCCAAGCATTCAGACTGAATGAAAATATAGACGGGCAGAACCATGCCTGGCATCCTCTCTTAACAAGCTGCAGAAACACTGCGAAGCGCGGCTGCTATGCTGCAGGGAATGCTGAGAATCCTCAGGCTTTGGCCGACGAGCGCGCCCCAACTTTCTCTGTTATCAGAATCATCACAGGCGGAAATCCATCCAACAACAGTTCATGTGAAATGCTTGAAAAAATCTCAGCGCTAAGAGGTTTGTTTTTTGTTCTGCTTGCCAAAAGAACATTTGAAGGCTTTTGTAAATAATACAATGATGAAAATATGCAAACTTTAGCTATAATCGTACCTTTGGAGAATAGATGTTATGAGATAATTTAAGCCAAGAATGACAAGACATAAACATCTGCAGTGTTTTAATCTTCGTATTTACTTTTTACTATTTTGTAGCTTTTAATGTGGACTTCAAAATGAATACAATCTAAATAATTAGCAATAACTTATTTCTAAATGCATTGATGAAACCAAGCAGATGATGTTACCAAATAAAGCGCTGAGCCTCCATCAGTCAGAGTGAGGAAGTGGTGAGTATCAGGAAGTAGAAGCTCCATCTGTGTTCAGTCAGTCAGTCTGACTGTGAGAGCAACAGACGCACAATGGCTCAACTCCCATGGATTCAAGGCTTTTTATTCATCATCCTGCAGCTCACAGGTAGGAAGACACTAAACATTTCTATAGAGCTACAGACCATAGATCTGCTTTACTCACTGGGTTCAGATTTAATATTTATGCTCCTGTTTTATCTTCCAACAGTCACTGCAGATGAAACATCTGTTATAAAGAGAGCTGGAGATGAAGTCATGATGTCATGTTCAGAACTGATCGATGGTCAGAGGAAGTGTAACAATACAACATGGATCTTTACTGGTTCAGGAGGATCAACAGTAGAGCTGGTTTCACTGGGTCAGATTAACAGCTCTAAACCAAACAGACTGAATCTGACATCAAAATGTTCTCTGGTTATAAAGGAGGTCAGAGAGGAAGATGCTGGACGTTATAACTGTCAACAGTGGAATACAAGAGGCGAACACACTCTGGTTCATCAGTCTGATATAGATCTGTCTGTTGTTAACTGTGAGTTTTAACATTAGTTAAATCATTATTTTCAATATCAAAGCATTTTGTTTCAGTAATCAATATTAACAATAATTGGTCTTATTTTAACATTTCTGTCTTCATCAGTGACTGAACAGAAGGAGAATCATAGTGTGACATTGAGTTGCTCTGTGGTGACCTCTGACCCCTGTCGGTACAAAGTTCAGTGGTTTGATCAGGATGTGAACATCAAAGAATCACCATCAGAGTCTGGCTGCTCTGCTACTGTCACTTCATCATCAGGGTTTAAGTTTCCTCAGTGTAAAGTGACTCAAACTGAAACTAATGAAGAGTTTACCTTCAGTCTGCAGCCGTCAGGTGAGAAGATGATAAACTGTATAAGATCAGTGACGTCACATGAAACTGTCTTTGGCTCTAAAACTTGTTCAGAGCTGAAATGTTTTCTAATTTGTTTTGTTTATTGAATCTCAGCAGGAAAAGTTCAACCAACAACAAAACCTGGAAACAGAAAGACAACCAGACCAAAGAAGAAGAACGTTTCACCAACTACTGAAGGCAGTGAGTTTACTAATATCTTTAACATAATATTATAGAACACAATGTGTTTTATTCTAATTTAGTTTGGCATGTTTGCAGTTGAGTGGCTCCTTTTGAGGTTAGAAGATGATAAACTGTATAAGATCAGTGACGTCACATGAAACTCTCTGGCTTCATGATTTAGATTCATCTACACTGTTTTACCAATTATTTGTGTAATTTGATTAAAATTTAAAAGAGTTTAAAGTTACAAATAAACTTTTTTTTTTGTTATTTTATAGAAAAGTCAGGAGGAAAAGTTCAACCAACAACAAAACATAGAAACAAAACATCTAGAACAACCACCAGACCAAAAACAGACAATTCATGAAAATATCCAAGAGGTTTAGCATCACTGATATTGTATGAAGATTTAAACATGTTTGTTTTTTTAATTCACTGAAAAAAAAAGTATTGTAATTTCTACTAAAAGTCTCTTGATTTGTATTTGACTCAGGTTGGATGGAGGCATCAGATACAAACATAAAAACATTTACTGTGTTTTTCTATTTGTGTTTTTGACTTTAGTGAAGACAGAAGGAAACTCTGGACCAACAATGAAACCTGAAAACAGAAAGACAACCAGACCAAACAAGAAGAACGTTTCACCAACTCCTGAAGGCAGTGAGTTTATTAATATCTTTACATAATATTATAGAACACAATGTGTTTTATTCTAATTTAGTTTGGCACGTTTGCAGTTGAGTGGCTCTTTTTGAGGTTAGAAGATGATAAACTGTATAAGATCAGTGACGTCACATGAAACTGTTTAGCTTCATGATTTAGATTCATCTACACTGTTTTATCAATTGTTTGTGTAATTTGATTAAAATTTAAAAGAGTTTAAAGTTACAAATAAACTTTTTTTCCCTGTTTTATAGAAAAGTCAGAAGTTCAACCAACAACAAAACCTGGAAACAAAACATCTGGAACAACCACCAGACCAAAATCAGACAATGTTTCAAAAATCTCTGAAGGTAATGATTTTACTAATATCCTGAATATCCTTAGTATATTTTACATTTTGTCTTAAAATATTATTTAAAGATTTACCTGGCATTCCTGCACTTTTCTAAAACACATCACTTTAAATCTCTTTGTTTTACGTGAAATATTGAAGTATTAACATAACCTTGAACCTCACCTGCTATAAGTGAGAGATATTTTAAATTGTTTATTTTATTATTATTTCCGTTTGGAACCCAGCAACAAATAAAGCCACTTATTCTATTTAAGTCTCTTCAACTTCAGCTCCAACCAACACGACATCTGAAAATATCAAGATCATAATCCATCATTTATTTGAGATCTAAAAATTATTTTTTCATGTTTTTTTTTAGTTTGGATTCTCTGAATTTTAGCTGTTATTTTATTAAGTCAGTGATTTTTAATCTTACTTTTCTTTCTGAGCTGCTTGACAAGTTTTTTTATATATATTTAATGGTTTATTTCTGGTCATTATTGACTCTCATCTTTTTCCTGTTACAACTCCTTAGTTTTATTGATGAATTTTAATGTCTTATTTATAGTTTTCCATTAAGATTAAATGTTCATTTTTTGCCATTAGTTGTGAATTTGCTGTTCCTGATCAGAAATGTTTTTCACAGCTTAGCAAATGATTTATAATGTAACAAAGTTAAATATGTAAACAAAACACAAGTAATAAATCAATAATACTCAGTAAATGTATTTCATTAAGTATGAGAATAATCAGCTATAAAGTCATGGATAATTATCATCCATATGAGTTGAGGCTTCATATAAATATGAATAAAATCTGAGAGTCATAAATAAACCAGATAAACAATAAAGGAAGGTCAGAGGTCAGGACTTCATCACTTCATTAGGGTGAATATCTAAACATGTAATCATATTAAGCCTAAAACTGAATAATTAATTTATTTTTCCTTTATTTCAGCTCTGTGGCGTATCGTCATCGTCTCTGTGGGTTTAGCAGCTCTTTCACTAACTGTTGTAAGCGTCAACATTTGGACCAGAACTAAAATGTGAGGTAGAGAAATGAAACAGTTTGATAATCTGCAGAATGAAAATACCTAGCTTTTGATGAATTGGTATAAAACTCAGAAAAAGATTATTGATTGATATTAAAATTAGATTATTCTGTCTGTTCTCTTCCTAAAACCTGTTGGTGATGAAAACTTTAACATTAGAAGGTTTTGTAAGATTTTATTGTCACTATTTGTATTTTCAAACTCCTCTGATGTTCCAGATCAAATCCAAGAAATTGATGTTTCAGTGAATTGGAAAATGTCTTTTTTTTCCCTCAGCATCAACTCAGTAAGAAATATTCACTGCTGTCATTTCAGTGCTTCATCATAGTGTCACATGTTAGAAATGATTGGAATGAAAAATATTATCATATACTAATGGAAAAATGTTACAATATTTTTCAATAACAGGACGTTGTGAGTTTTTATATTTTGCTGTTTGTATTAATGACATGCATAATGTGTCCGATGATATTTTACTGTTTACTTTGTTTATAGAATAACTATCTGAAATGTATCATCTCATTTCTGAGGGGTTCCTGAAGAAAACAAACATCAAACCAAAGTAAAGCAAAGCAGATATTTGCATAAAATCCTTTGCTACAGTGTTAGTTTTGTACTTTATGAGACATGAGGTTAAAAAATAAGAACGAATTTAATAACTTAATGTTAAATGTTTGCAACATGGACACAAATTCCACTTATTGATTTATATTTTGTTGCTGTAAATCATTCGAGTTTTGATTTGAGGTTTGTAACCTTTCAGACTAAAATGGCTGAGAATTTCTGCTCTGTAGTTTTGTAGACGGGAATGTGAGCATGTAAAAACTTCATGGTGTATAAATGTTGTGTTTGTTAATCAAAGTCTTGTAAATAAATGTTGACACCTTGTAAAGTGAAATTTCTGAAAGTTTCATCTTCATGCATCCATGGATAAGAATTTAAGTATAAAGAATCTGTACTTGCTAAAAGTAGTTACACAAGTTATAATTGTTGTCTGCTGAGGTCTGTTATAAAGCAACAAGCTGTGAAAAACTCTTTGCTCTGGTTCTCTAACTTGTGTGAGTTTCAACCTGCAAGTTTTTATTAGATGTTTCTTCCTCTCAGCTGATTGGTCAATGTCATGTCAATCACAAATTTAACCATCCAATCAGAGATCAGATAGTTTGGCCGTTAGGATGACGTTTTACTGAGCTGAAGGTTCAGAAATGTTTTCAGTTCTTCTTTTTATCCTCATTGAAAACATATTTAGGTGTCAGGATGAGCTGTACTTACTATTTCTTAGAAAGTCTGTAAACATCAATTTATTTCTGACCTGTTGTGTTTGAACATGCAAACTGAAGGAAGTAAATTAAAATACAATCTGTAAAAATACATTTCCATGATGTCAAACATATTCTCAGTTTTTCCACTTAAGCTTCCAAAACATGTAAAATAAACAATAAAAAATAGTTTCATTATCTGACGTGTTCTGTAGCTGCAGGTTCAGTTGACGGATGTAGAAATAAAACCCATAAACTTCCCAACCACGTCTATTTTTCAGGTCATTGTGGGTAAAAACCTCAGAGCTCTGCTGCTGCTGCTGTTCACCAAGTTGTCACCAAACACTTCCTCATCATTTCACACATAATAAAACTTCATATGTCAAAGTGGAAACCAGGAGGTTTTAAAAAGTTAAATAAAGTTGTAAATATGATGGATCTATAAAACCGGACTTTTGATTTGCTGCTCATCATCAGTCAGGTCTGCTGAATTTTTCTGCAGGTTCAATATGACATGTCTGAATGATATTTTAAACTTCACAGTGTCTGCAAAGTGTTATATCCCTGAACTGTAAAAAAAAAGGCTGCCAAAGTGTTGCTGCAAGTTTAAAATAAACTGAGTTGGTTGGTGTATAAATGACCCATCAATGTGTTAAATGTGTGTTTTTTCTGATCACTGTGGGTTCAAACCGCAGAGCTCTGCTGCTGCTGCTGCTCACCACATTCTCATCAAACCCTTCAGAGATCAAACTGGAAACCAGCAGTTTGGAAAAAGTTAAATAAAATCTGTTTGAAGGATCTATAAAACTGATCATTGATCTGCAACTCAACACCAATCAGATCTACTGGATTCTTCTGCTTGATTCTGCAAAGACCCAAACAAAAGAGGAAGTTCATCGTTTCACACATTTAGCTAAACTGAGACGTTTCACATGCTGATCTTGTTCCCCTTTGAAGACTTTTTTGTACGTCACCGTCTGTACTGTCGTGTACAGTACAGGTGTTGTTCAGAAAAATGATGTCAAAGAACCAAAACTGAACAAAAATATTTAGAAAACAAGTATTAAAGACTAGGATGAAATGTTCTACTGATGGTAGAAATCTGTAAATTTTAACACTGCAGCTAAAGACATTTATAGATTTTAATTACCCAACCACCAAATATGCATTGACACACACAGTGGAAACCATTTTAGCACAACAGCAGATGTTAACATCTAGTTTCCTCATTTCTGATTTTGGAGAAGCAGCCAATCAGAATCAAGCAAAAGAAATGCTGCTTCTGGATTGGTTACTTTGAAATCATCGGCCAATCGAGTGTCAAGTAGAAATGTGAATAAATAAAGTTTCTCATGGTGCCACAAACTTACAAACTATTGTCACAGGTCCAAACTAAATATTTAATTCACAAGCTAAATATTTAGCTTTCTAACTATTCATTTTGCTAACTAATTATTTTGCTCCAAATTAAATATTTAATTTGTAAACTACATATTTAACTTTGACCTGCATTTAGTTTTAAATATTTAGTTTGCAAGCCAAATAATTAGCTTCAAATTTAATGTACAGTTTGTAAACTACATATTTAACAAAGATCTAAATATTTATTTGTAAACTAAATATTTAATTTGCAAGTTAAATATTTAGTTCAAAACTAAACATTTAGTTCAGTTAAATATTTGGCTCAAAACTGAATATTTAGTTTGTAAAATGTATTTAAATTGAAACTAAATATTTAGCTTGGAATAATTGTATAAAAAACAAAATGACTGAAAATAAACTCCCATTTTTTCTCTTTAACAGGTTATAATGCCCATAATATTGCTGTTACTTTTTTACTAACTGTGCTGCATTATATAGAATGTAAATATATTTAAAGTTTCAAATACAAGCTAGTATTGTAATTGACAGCAAATTTTACTCCATTAATTTACACACATTCTGAAAATTCCTTTTAACAATCCTGTAAGTGACTTAACTATGTGTTAATAGCAGCTCAAGGCGGTTAATGTAACCTGAAAATAGCAGAATGCAGACGAGCCACAGAGCCAGCTAACGGGTCGAGTCCAGAAATCTGAGCTTCAGCTGCATTACTGGGTTACCGGCGTTAAAACCGAGCCACATTCATGGGATTGTGTCCAACATGACACGGATTCCTGACACAAATCCTGCGATAGAGTCTCAATAAAAAGTTGAACTGCACAGTCCATAAATGAGGAATTCAGGTTGGTGTAGCGAGGGGAGGAATTCACGGCTCGTCACAATTCATTTCTGAAGAAAAATCTGAGACACTCGACTCTCTGCAGGCACTTACTGCAGATCAGGCAGCGCAGAAAACCTTTAAAAGTACAGACCAAAGAATTACAACTCGCAAAAATAATGAAATAATATAAATTAAAAGAGAAAAAACATAACAGATTCTCTCTTTTGGCAAAATTAAATATTTCACATCATTAAGCCAATTTTAATATGAGAGAAGAACAAAAAATAACAATTTAAAGGGGATCTATTATGCAAAATTCACATTTTGCACATTTTCATATTTTCATTTTGATTTTAAATGTTTCTAAAAAACAACAACACACACATTTAAAAACAGCACACACAAAAAAATAAAATTAAATTTAAGCATCCAGACATATTTTTGTGTCTGGAAAATGAGCCATTTTAAAAACCTCCCAATTCTTTAGTCACAATCAGCAGGCATTGTGCCGTTGCCTTTTTTTTAATTTGTGTTTTGCTCAGTCTGCAAAACTTTAAGTGTTTCGGAAGGACATTAAGGTTTTACTTTGGTTTAGTAACCAAGCAGCATGATTTGACTTTTTCCTGCACTGGAAAATGTATACAGTGAAATATTTAGTGAGACCTAGAAATAGTTTTAGATTTTTAAAAATAAAACATCTGAGTAAAACAGAAAGCTCTTATTTTGTTATTGGTGAGAAAAATGTTTAAAATTTCAGTTTTTCCAGCTTCAAGTTATTTTGCAAACTGTGAGAAATATGACCAAAATACACAAGTTGAAAGCACTCAGTGGCCAATTTCCTTTAATTAAAGACACAAAATAATTTCTTTATCTTTCATCTTTGTGATTTAAACATGAGATATTTTAACGAAAAAAGTAGTAAAAAAGTAGGCATTTTCTTGTGGGTCCTGAGAACAGTCTCAGGTGTTTTCCTTAATAATAAAAAAAGGTGGAAAGGTTTCTAAAAAATTTTTAGGTCAAATGTTTTCTGAATTGTGGGTTTAGGAAATATTTTAGTTTAATCTCAGCAACAAAAATGAAAACTTTCGTCTAAAGTCCTGACTGTCTAAGTTTAATGTCTGGTTTTCCAAGCCTGATGGGTACAGAAATGGTTGATGTTTGTGGCCCAACTTAAATTATATTAAATATTCAAAATAAAGAAAAAGAAATGGCAGGCTGTTTCATTTATAACAAGACTTTTTCCTTCTTATAAGTAAAATAATCAGCTAGTGGAACTTGTACTTTTTCATCAATATAAAGAAACTGTTGACTTAGAACAAGCTCGTGTTTCCCACTGAAAAGTTAAATAAGTTTTGTCTTATTTCAAGTGTTTGCCCTAGAAACTAGACTAAATCCATGAGTGAGATTTTGTGTTTTTGCAGTGAATGAGCCGTCACAAATCAGCCCTGTTACCTAGCAACACAATGTTTGGTCAGCTGGTTTTACTGCGGTACAATGGCTGCTGGAAAAGACAAATGTTTTATTGTTAACCTTATA